CCTGCTGCAACACCTGCCCCGCAGAGTGGAGGGTGTGAACGCCACCAAGGGAAGTACAGGAGATTTTTAATGTCTACATTAAAGGGAAAATAAAACATTTAAAAGTTGTTTCAGCCTCAGGCTTCTAGCCTGCACCACCAAAATGAACCTCACTAACCCCTGCTGGTTCTGTTGAGACAAAACAATCTTTGTCCAGAATACAGAATTTTACCCCAAAATGTATTTTCTGAAAAAAGCAGGAACTGCCCCCAACTTCCCCAACCTCTTGCTCTGTGTACAAACAACAAGGACTCATCAGGAAGCCAACCTGGCAGGGGGTTTGGATGGACACTTTGCTATGGCCGAGGTTTGCTCCGCAGCGGTGGATCACACCGGCTTTGCAACCGGGATCTGCAGGTGGGAGCCGTGCACACCTCCGAAAACCAGAGGGACCTGTGCCCAGCAGCCCTTGGCTTCTCCCAACCTGCACCCAGCACCCACAGCTAAGTTATTACCTGAGTGTTGGGTTTGGAAATGTGGTTTGTACCCTCTAGGTGTAAGCTCAAGCTTCAGGGACATGTTAAATCATCTTGGTGAGCATCTCTGAGCGTGGGGTAAGAAAAAAAAGAGATGAGAGGGAGCGTGTTAGAGCCCAAGAGCCATCTGCATGGAATTCAGGCAGAATTTCCCCAAATATTCAGGTGGTACCAGCCAAGGGAATTCAGATCCAAGTCTCCATCCAGCTTTTAGCTGCAAAGGATAGAGTGTGGGTGTATTTCTTCCAGGGGTAAAGCAGAGAGGTCTCTTACTCCTGTGACAGGCAAAGGATAGGCACAGGGACTGCCTGTGGAAAAAGGAGAACAAATTCCTCTAAAATGGGCACGTGCTCTTGAGCATAAAAGCCAGACAGAGCTGACAAGTTGGCTTTCAAAGTGGTAAAATGGAAAAAAAACCAAAAAAAATTTAAAAAAGAAGTGTTGTGACCCAAACTGAGCACAGCCATGCGCTGGATGTTGTGGCTTCCAAGAGAGATGTTTTGATACAGGAGAGCAAGGTCCAAGGAAAACAAAATCTCCCAAATTAATCCCTGCAAAAAAGCCCCCAAATTACAGAAAGCTGAATTAATTCAACTGTTTTCCAGGGCTTTCAGAAAATCAATGAAGCTGGATCAGTTTTTCAATCAGCACCCTGCATGCTTTACCCCAAAGAGGAAATTTTCAGCGTGAGGTCAGCTGGCAGGTCACGCTGATTTTGGACGGCCCCTGCCTGCCAGCTTCGCGGCGGGGGCGATTGTGCAGCTTTTCTTTCATAATCTGGTATAAAGGCTCCTTTATCAACACGTAACGTATCGAGCAGCCAAAGAATTGCACTTGAAACTGCAGCCTCGTGTCTGTTAGGTTGAGCACAGACACATTTAGAAGACAGAGACATCATCAGAGGCAGGAAAACATCCCTCTGCTCCGGGATATACAGCCAGGTGAGCACACCTGTATACGCCAGGATTTAGGGAAAGCTTTGGATGTGGTCTCACAGGTGAGACACACAACCTCCCACCTTGGGGAAAATCTTTTTCCACTCTTTGCTGCCTCTACTGAATTCCATCGAGATGTGGTGGTTACTTGTTAAAGAAATGAACCAGGGAACATGCAGCAAGCTTCAGGTGGCAGCAATGCAGAGAGAAAATCAAAATGTTGTAACAGATGAGTATGTCCCACCTTCCCAGTCTCTGCTGGGCATGGTCTGCATTGCTGGAAAGACATCTCCAAAATCATAATCTATAAAAATGAGGGATAAAACTCAGGATTAGAAATACAAGTAGTGGGGAGGAAGGG